CGGAATGACCTGGATCCAGCCTCCAGGATGCAGGGTCAGAATGCCCTGCCATCCCCACCGGTCCCCACTGCAGCTCGTGCAGTAGATCCTGTTGCATCCTTATTTTTGCCTGCCCAGGACAGCAGCGAGGTCCATGCAGGAACCTCCAAAGGTCCCTCTTTGCTTTGCTAGAGTAAAGATTTACTGCTTACAAGGAATTTTCCCTCTGGTGAAAATCAGCAGGTTCTCCTTGCACACCAAACCTGGGGGGTCTGATGCGTGCTGCCGCTGGGAAGCTGTGAGTGCAGGTGAAGGCCCAGGCCGAGTGCAGGGACAAGCGGAGGTTTCCCGGCTCTGAGCCGTGTCGAAAAGCCGGGGGTGAAAACGTAGAGCCTGTTGCTGGAGCGGGAGGGAGCGGGAGCCGCAGCCGCCGGGGGGCTCGGGGGTTCCCCCAAGCTGCGGAGCCAGCAGCGCGTGTCCCCCGTAACGCCCGTGACCGGTCGCTGTGTCTGTGGCAGATCGCCCCGCCGCCCTCGCTGGCCGAGCCGCTCAAGGAGCTCTTCAAGCAGCAGGAGGCCGTGCGCGGGAAGCTGCGGCTGCAGCACAGCATCGAGCGGGTAAGGCGGCGCTCCGGGACGGGGCCGGGGGGTCCCTGCGCCCGGCGCGCCGCTCACCGCTGCCCCCGCTCCTCCCCAGGAGAAGCTGATCGTCTCCTGCGAGCAGGAGATCCTGAGAGTCCATTGCCGGGCGGCGCGGACCATCGCGAACCAGGCTGTGCCCTTCAGTGCCTGCACCATGCTGCTGGACTCCGAGGTCTACAACATGCCTCTGGAAAATCAGGTCAGTCCTGGAGCACCTCAGTCCAAAGGGAGGTGACTTTTCCAGCAGGAAGGAGGGAGGGACGTTACTGAAGCTCCCCCTGCTCAGGGACCTCCTGCACCCGCCAGCACGTGGGTACGGGACACRTTGTCCAGCCCGTGCCCGGTGACTGCATCCAGTGCAATAGCCCCGTGCGCGCAGGGAGCCGCGTGTGGCTCTGGCAGCAGCGCTGGCTCACCGGCGTCGGGAGCCTCTGCCCTGCAGCGCCCGCACGTTTGGAAGGGTTTATTTAGCTCCGTCTGGGATTTCTCTTCCTGTTGCATAGGGGGAGAGGGCCGTTGGATGAGCGTGTGTGCCGCAGGGACGGCGCCTTGCCGCCGCAGCTCGGGGTGCCCCGTGCCAGCGAGGGGGTCCYGCTGCTTTCTGCCTCCCTGCTGCTGGGCGGCTCTGGTGGGCTCGGGAGCCCTCTGCCAGGCCGTGCGCATGCCGCCAGCGTCGCGCTTGCTGCGTGGCAGGAGCCACCGTGTGTTGCAGCGGAGCAGGGTCTGTCAGCGCCCTGCCCTTTACCAGCCCAGGGGCCCTGGGTCGCTCCCTCAGCCTTTCCCAGGCAAATGCGCTTGTGCTCCCGCCCCGATGAGGGGCACCGAGCGCGTGTGTCACTGCCGCTCCTGCAGACATCACGCCGCCTGACTCCCCTTCCCCTCCTCTGCTTAGGGAGACGAAAACAAATCGGTGAGGGACCGTTTCAACGCGCGGCAGTTCATTTCCTGGTTGCARGACGTGGATGACAAATACGACCGGATGAAGGTGAGAGGGCAGGGGAGCGCGGGGCGGCGCTGGCAGCCCGCGGCGGCCCCTCGCGCGCCGGGGGGCCGAGACGAGGGGCAGCGGGGTGGGAAACGGGGGCTCCTGCGCCGTCCCGCTCACCCCGCTGCGTTTCTCCCCCGCCGCAGACCTGCCTGCTCATGCGGCAGCAGCACGAGGCTGCGGCCCTCAACGCGGTGCAGAGGATGGAGTGGCAGCTGAAGGTGCAGGAGCTGGACCCCGCGGGGCACAAGTCCCTCTGCGTGAACGAGGTGCCCTCGTTCTACGTGCCCATGGTCGACGTGAACGATGACTTTGTGCTCTTGCCGGCATGACGGTGCGCAGCCAGGAGACATCACTGAACACTGGCAAGGACGGGAGCCCTCCGAGGTCGGGCGGTCGAGCTCACATTCACCCTTACCGCTTGCTGATGAATCCCTGGTCAGAGGAGGAGGAAGCAGCCACCGGCAGACAACTAAACAGCGAGAAAATAAATTGCACTTTCTTCACCGCGCGCCCCTCGCTCCCGGACTGAGGCAGCTCCGCCGGGCAGGGGCCGGGGGGCAGCGGGGCCGGCACCCGGCCCACGAGGAGCCCGGCCCGCGGGGAGGAGGCGGCGGCGCCCGCGCCGGCGCTGCCGGGGCCGCCGGCCGCTTCATGTACTTGTGAACACAGTGATTTCCGAGCTCTCTGTTTTTCCAACCGCTCTGCGGAGCTCCTTGCTGAGGAGAAG